CAGAGTAGATTCGAAGCAACACAGACCTTTGCATCACAGAAAGTACCACATTTCACAGTCTTTAAAATGTTGTGACCTCTTCAGCCTTGACCTCAAGGTCACACCCAGTAGCCACATCCCTTTCCTCTTGTCATCTCTTTCTTAGAGAATGACACATGGATGATAACATTTACAATCCTTACACATCCTGCATCCCAACCTCCATCTCACTTCCTGTCTTTCTGTGCATCCTTCTGTACGTCTATCCCACATGCACAGACAGCCTGAGAGTACCATTACATGTCTAATACCATCTGCGCACACAAAAACTGGCTCTAGTCCCGGGGCCTGTGGCAGGCATTAAAGGCAAACTAGCCAGCAAGTCCACTTACACTTTTATGTGTCTGCCCGACCTTCCATTCATTTGTCCACTGAGGCTTCAAACATAACCTTCTCTCTATTGGCACAGCCTATGGCAGCACCTGATATGTGAAGTACCCTACAAAGTGTAAACGACTGTGGACCGGCTCAGCGGTGACTTGAATTGGCTTGTGATGACTCATAAAAAGATATATTTCAATTTGAAAAGGGGGCTGTTCGTGTAACTTGCTGTTTACGGTCACTTAAATGGAGTCTGTCTGTGCTCTAACTCAATATTCTTTATACCTTACTAAACAAAATTCTGAAAGAGCTCTAATTAAGATTAGGGCTTCAAAAATCTAGTTGAAAGGGAGTCTCAAATGTCCTTGAAGAAATAAAACAAGTTCCTTTTGCAAGTGAGCCCAAATTAGCATTGCCTGTACAAAAGGGATGTGGTGACCAAGCTTGTATGATGAACACTTAACGCTAAGATTTGCATTTTTGAACTGTGAGCCAAGCTGTGAGAAAATGACTCCATTTAGTCAAATCTAAAGGCTTGAGTTGAATCCTAAAGACTTGAATTGCCCTTGATGGCATGTTTCCTCTCTTCCTTTCAGCTGCAGTTTGTAGCTACTTCTCTCACTATACAATAGCTCCACAAAAAGGTTTGGTCTCTGCGCTTTGTGCGCTCTGTGCTATATATGGACACACATTTACATGCCGCATAAAAGAACATTCGCAGTTCTGCTTCAGTCACAGACATGTAAACACGAAGCAAATGTAATACAGACTGCATCCTTATGAGAGAGAGTAAGTATCGAAGTGAATCAGCAGGTAAATGGTTCTCTTGGTTATTATGTATATGAAATGATTAAACACAGGTGCATGATTACCCACACTTGCATATGAGAAAGCAACCAACCACGCACATGTGCATGCTGTCACGCGCACACCCTGACATACCAGCCTTTTTCCTGTGGGTTCTGCTTCCTGCGTTTGTAGAGCACATACCAGATGATTTTTTTATTCTACTGCTGAAAACCGATACATGTGTGATTACATTAAAAAGCCTCATCTCATATTGATCCATCGGCGCAAATAGCCATCTGAACAAGCAGAAGAAGATTATTTAATGCAATTTGTGTTATTTTTTTAATTTCCCCTGGGTTTTGGGTCACGCAGCAGAGAGGTGTGAAGGAGAGCAGACAACACTTTGAGTGCACAGTGTATACTTAAGAGCAGAAGAAACAGCCTGTGAAGGGACCGTATCACTTTTTTTGACCTGCATGATGATTGCAAGAACAGACGTACCAAGTAACACAGCAAGTACAAACGCAGGTACACCAGAATTTTCAGTTCATGTGTTTCTTGTAGGGGTTTTCAGTTGAAGATGTTTCGTTTTCATTTTGAAAAGCAGAAATATTACGGGAAAGTCAGAGACTTTGTGACGTATTGATTTTATATTTTTCTCATGAAGGAAATTCCTCTTGTGCTCATTGCAGGTGATTCCGTTTTAGATTGGAGCACCTATTCTACATGAGCCACGTGCCATTAAAAAACATTTGTAGTTGAATAAAATGATTTTATTGGACATCATCTGCTGTGACTAACAAAATGCAATTGCCTTAGCTCCTATGAATCATCACCAGATGTGTATGTCTGTGTGAGCGTGCATTCACCATTGTACATAATGAATCATGTCGCAGGAGTATGGAATAGACCATTTTGTGAAGCTGTGTGAGCATTTACATGAATCAGAAGGTATGTATGTACAAAATATATACATGTATAAAAGAGTATGTGCAGCATAGCCTGGAAGGATAGTATTTGTCGGACTTAATGACTTCTGCACTTACACTAAAGTCATCAGCGCAAACTTAATACTACGGGCTAAATATGAGCAGAGCTAAAAATAGTCCCCCGTAGCAGTAACATGCGTAGCAGGATATGGTTGTCTGGTAGATGATAATGAAGAAAAGACGAAAAGAAGGAAGGGGGAGATTTGTAAGTAAAGACATTTATATAATGGGTGATTTTCTGTTATAAAGAAGCCTGGAAAGCTCATCATTAAACATAGAAAATGACATGTTTGAGGGGAATACTGACAAGCCACTATCTATACTTAATGTCTTGCTTTGGTTTGGAAGTGGTTTGGTTTGATAATAAACAAAGCTGTTTGTAGATTTGATGGAGAAAGGAAGGGCAGATTTAGACATACACACTAACAGACAGACAAAGAAATGGGCACAAACTCAGTAGGTACCTTTATGGTCTAAATAAATAGATGGCTCAGGCTAATAATGGATTGAGAATCTGATTAGAGACGGGCAGATAAAAGGACATGATCCAGCTCTATCATTAATGCTGTCTGTCCGCAAACCCTAATTATAACTAAATGCCTTCCCCTCACTCTCGCTCCATCCCCTGTTACTAACCCCACACAAAGCCTGACAATCTGAACAAAGCTTCCCTGAGGCCCCTAATCTAATAGAGCAGTCTATACAAGACAGACACACACACCAGCCAACAGAGAGGGAAGGACATAGTCAGGAGGGAAAGATGAGGGTGTGATGGAAAAAAGAGGACAAGGATTCAGATAAAGGAGATAAATTGGACACTGAGTGAGAAATGACAGAGAGCTTTTCTTTTCCAAGTCTCCGAGGACTGTTGGTGTGATGTTTATCATGAGGGAGCTCTGGTGGGACCACATTGTTCCCTTCTTTGTGTCCATCTGCTGCGAGCTCCTTTTGGGCCCAGCCTATTTTATCAGGACTCTGGTCTGTGTGAGGGTGTCCTCTCTGATCCTTGCAGTAGAGTTAACACTCCTGAAGCAGCCTATTGATTCGAGGTGTGTAAGACAAGCAGCACAATGTGGCCCACTATGTAAACGCAAACAGTCACGAGGAGGTACTGTTCAAATTGCACCAGACAGATGCCCCCAATCAGTGCGTGTGTGGCATTGTTTTTAAGATCAAGTAAGGAAATTAAGTTTGTTTTTACTTTTATTAATGTTGCAGGAGAAAAAAGGTTAATTGGTAACAACAGGAAGAAGAGCAGGTTATTGCATTTACATACAGCATGTACAAGTAGTTGTTTACCAAAGCAAGATTTTAGTTAGTACTTCAAATATGATGATTAAAGTCTTTCCAGTGGAGGATACAATCACAGTGAAGTTATAAAAGGTACATTTTAATTCATGTTCTATTGCAGCTTTTGGCACTGCAGTGGACACAATTGTAATTGACCACCTCACGTTCTGTGTTGGCATCAAGACATGTAATTGGTTCACCTCCTCCTCCTACATGGAATCTTCAACATCACATTTGGCCTATTGCTTGCTCAGCTGCTCAAGTTTGAATGGTCTGTTTTCTGTTCTCCATGTTTTCTACAGTTTTCATCTGAAAACCCAGTATTTCTTGTCATTTTGTCAGTAATAACATATGTTTATATGTCACAACTGAATAACAGGCACCTTAAGTAATTCTATATGGACTTACAGGAAGCTTTGAAGAGTGGAAGAGTATGCATCATTCCTGAATCATTTTATTGAGGACATTTGATGTCATAGAGAAAATAAACAGATAAATTCAAATTGGCAAAGCATCTTTTTAACCAATCATTCCCTTTAATTGGATGGGGTTTTTTTGGTCCGCATTAAAACATCAAAGATGTGGGACACATCAGACATTTTATATGTAATGGACTGGCTATTGCTACTGTAGTTAGTGTCAGCGAGTGCGAGTTATATAATGCTGCCGTCCATCAGAGGGAGACAAGAAAACTAAAGAGACAGCATGTCAGAGTCCAGGCTGCAGCCATGCCCCGAGACACACACACACACACACACACACACACACAGTATTCCTCTGTCCGCAGGTTCATGCTTTCTATTACCCTGTGTTAATATGCTCCTCTCTTTCCTGCCCTGGCCACACAGACTGCCCAGATGTCTAGGCCAGGCACATTTAGAATCAGTGTTCAGCATGTTAAATCATCCCCTTATTTTTGACATGCTACCAATGGATGTTTTGCAAAGTTGTGCAAAATAATTGCATGTTTTAAATGGGAGAAATTACAAGGCCAATGCAAAGACAAACATTCAATCTCTAACAGACTCCTAGTGTATGTCAAACAAATGGCATGGCAATTTTTAAATTCAAGAATGACTACAATAAACATAGCAGTCAAATGTTTTCCTAGACAGCAGTGATAAACCTCCCCTTTAATCCTACAGCATGACGAAGGAGATAAGTCTTGGTTTACTGAAGTGTGTGCAGCAACCTACTGAAGGGTTGCATGCAGTGAGTGTGGTCCCTCCTGTGAAACTCACAGGAGACTCACAGAGTATTGAGTTACACAGGGTTTGGTGAAAATCGCAGAATATGTGAATGCCGTGAAGCGCTGAGCTCTCTCGTTCTGCGTCAGTAAATATTTTACTCCTGCGCCATATACGAAAATTGTTGCAGGAGAAGGCAACAGCGCTCCTCTGTCCACCATGCTTACTTGACTGGTTGGAAAATCCCCAGCTCTACCACTACTGCTTCTAAATAACCAGCAGGAGGCATTTCAGTACACTAATTTGCTATACAGTGAACATCTTCTCAATAGAGGGTACTACACTAACCACAAACTTCAAAAACTTTCTTCTCTCTTTTTCCTAGTGGAGCTGGATGCAGAGCATGCACAGAGAGTCCCTGGGGCAGAACAGGGAGGGGTCCCACCCACGCAGGTCAAGCTGAAAGAGAGGCAGAAGTTCTTTGAGGAGGCCTTCCAGCAAGACATGGAGCAGTACCTGTCTACTGGCTACCTGCAGATCGCTGAGAGGAGAGGTGAGAAGGAGGAGCCGTGAGGTCAGAAGTTTTTCTCCAAAAACAGCTTGAAATTGAGCATTTCTTGTGGTCTGAGGCCTGCAAAGGAAAATGTTGAGTTAAAGTTTTAGGCATTGGTGTCTGTAACTCATTTGAGGGTGATTGCAAAAACCAGCCATCATTCAAATGAATTAATTCCAAAGTCCTGATAGCATCAGCCAAAACCTTCACACTTCAACTGCATATCACAAGATTGAGCCATAATAGCTTTCTGCACTGAGGCTCCACTCTCTGAGTGCCTGTTGCTAAACACACAAGTAGAGCCATTACTTTGAAAAATGCCACCGCACCATATAAATGTAGTCTTCTACTGGGATTGTAATAGAATCCTGCTGCAGTTTACCCCATGTATTACTGCCAAATGTCTGTGCTAAAATACCCAAAGGATGTGCTGAAATGAGGGACTGCATGAGATATGCCTCCTGCGCTGAAAGATGTATTGGACTCTACTGGCCCAGAGTTTGTAATGTGATTTTTTTTCTTCTTCTTTTACTCATCTATCCTGCTCCCTTAATCCACTGGAAATAGGTTATTAGAGAGGATTGTGAAGTAGTAAGGATGGAGGAAAGATGGGGCGAATGGAAATAGACTTAAGGATAGCAGAGGGAGAGAATGTGAGAGACTTGTTTTCACTGTCATTTAAAACAGCTTTTTTTTAATCAGTGCAGGGTTTTTTAAGGGAATGGACCTCCATGACAAAAACAACCACTAAAGCCAGGTTTGAGGTACAGTGAGTGAAATATTCACAGCTCGTTTTTCAAAGACTGGTCAGAATCATGTGTAGTCTACATTCATTCATGCTGGAAAGACAGAGGAGATGTTTACATTTAGATTTCACACTTCAAACGATGTGATTCACAGTACAAAGGCAAGCATGTGGGCTGCTCGACAAAAATCCACAACAGCCGAATTAGAATCAGCCAGCCGTAATTGCTATAAGAATATTTGCAATCAGTTACAGAGGAGGCTCACATCATAATGCTGGCAAATCAGATCTGAAAATAAGGCTACGGTGTGAGAGCTGAACAACACAGCACACTCCAGCTCATTATATTTCACGCAGCTGCAAATCCCTACAGCAGGGCGGCGCCACTGAAAAGCGAAGATACAGCTGGAGACACTGAGAAAGACGGGGGTAGAGATACAGAGAATGAACTGAAAGGAGATAATCAAGAAAAAGAGAGAAAGGACTGCAGATGTCATAAGCCCCTGAGCCATCAAAAGGCAGTCTCAAGGATGTTATATACACACACACACAAACACAAACACACACACACATACATGTATATATACACTCTGCAATCTCACTGCAGGCAAAAACAGTCTTTCCCAGCAGGGGAACCTTTTAGGCAAGGTCACAGTATGGCTAAAAGAAGAACATGTTAGAGGCAGTCACATGGAAAGGATGTTCTCAACGCAGCTTTCTGGATCAAGACTTTCACAACATAGCCATAGTCTTGGTTCGTGTGTGTGTGTGTGTGTGTGTGTGTGTGTGTGTGTGTGTACTTTTGTTTATTTTTGTTCATGTGCGGAAAGATGGCCCTATTTGGGACTGAAACTGAATCAGCATCCTCCATACTATGGGCCTGATTTATTAACATCCCGAATAAAGAGAACTAGATTGCGTGTGTCTTCTAAAATATTAGTACCTGCTATGGGGGATCAACTAAGAATTATTGCGGCGATGACAACAGGTGCAAAGACAATGGAGGTGGGAGTATTTAAATGGGGGTTTCGTGTTTTAATGGTTTCCGCCATAGAGACTCGGGAGGGAAAGCAGCCACCGTGTAAAAACTTTGGTTTGTTTCATTCAGTGCATCCCGAGTATGTGGAAATCATATGTACCTTCTCATCCTGCATAAGATTGCACTAAGTACTTGGGACAGCACACCTGAAAAACTGCTTTGGGAAACCCCAGCAGAAACAGATACAGTATGCAGGAATGACCCAGATGCCAGGAAATGCCAGCAGATCGTGTTTCATCCAGCCAGACGGAACAATCACAGACCGTTCTGCACCGTGCCCGGTCGCTCCGCGATCTCCTGTCCCTGTCCCTGTACACCCCAACGCCCCATTCCCTCTCCGATACCTACAATGGGTTGTGTCGCTATGAACAGTTAGAGCTCATTCCCTCTGGCTGGATGAATTTTACACATGATCCATGCAAAATCACGGAGAAAAGAAGTCAGGTCGAAATGAAATTTGCTTCATTGGCATGGATGTTGATACAACAGTATTGTCAAGGCTAAAGGAAAATACAAAAAAACAATTCAATTCATATAGTTCATCAAATAAATAATTTTATTTCTATAAATTGGATATACAATAATATTATCTAATGTTAATTTCTCTATGTCTTCTTTCATTATGGCTGTGTATCCTTCTCGCAACGATAACAGCAGCCATCTCTGCGCAACACTTGGCGGATTGTACCTTCCTTTCAAAAGTATTAAATACAGAGGCTGTTGCACTCACATGAAATTGCTTTTAGGCTTGTTAAATTACTCTGCGTGCAGTAAATAAATGCATTTGCATGTTACCCTCCCATTACTTTGCACAATAAAACTGAAACGCCCCAAATTGCATATTCATTAAGGCAAAAGTACTAAATGAACAACAGGTGCTATCTTGCACTTTTGAAAGACTTCGTTCTGCGTGCACACCGTTAGTAGATCAGCTTACTTGTTAATTTGCTGATGATAAATTGAAAATTGAATATCAAATTTGCACACGTTTTTACTCACGCAAACCTTAAAGTAAATCAGGGCCTATGTTTTATGAGGCTGAATAGCTGCTATGTGGTGGTAATTGCGTTGCTGACAGGCGTGATGTGGAAATGCACATTAGAAGAGGATCCATACTGAGAATTCATTAGCAAGCATTAGACCTTAGTTCCTCTAAGATGTGTCACAGAAAACACTGCTGTCTCCAGAGTGAAAGAGAGAGAAGGAGAAAAATGACTATATTACTGGATTGGTGTATAAAATGTGGAGTGATTTGGTGTGTGTATGTTTAAATAATACACAACATGTGTGTGTGTTTGTGTGTCTTTGTGTATATGCATTAAATCTATCTAGGTTTGTAGAGTCAGTTTGTATAAAGTACATTTGTAGACATTCCCATGAATTAAAGTTGAGTGATCTGAAATTATGACACTCACACATGCGTGTGTGTGATCTTTTGTACCTGTGTTGTAATTTAAAGGACAGGGAGACGTTTGGGGCAGTCTCCATGGGAAGTAACTTTCCCCTTCTTTCTCTCTTTCTTCACTGTTCTGCTCTCCCTCCCTGTGCCGCCCTCCTCTGCTCTCCTCATTTCCTTGAGGTACGGTAGCCAATGGCATCTTGTCTCACTGCTGTGCACCGACCAATAATATACCTTCTTTGTCTTGCTCGCTACACTACTCCATCCCCACCATCCCTACTGTGCACTGACTGGCTGATTGTGACGCATGCAGCACATCGTGTCAGTGATCGGGGGGGCGTGGGGGGGGGGTTGAAGTTAGAGTAGTATCTGGTGTGTAAGATGAGTTTCCCCTGATTTTGTTGTCGACAGCTTATTAAACCACAATGTAGTTTGCCAGTTTAACAGGTGATTCAACCACTATTGTTGTGCCTTAGATGAAGATCAAATCACATTTTATGACCACTTTATGCTGAAATCCAGATAATTCCAATTCCAAACAATTGTACATTGTGTTTATTAATTTGTTCATTGTACATAATTTAATTTTGAGGTGTTTCACCCAGCCCTGAAATATACATGTACCTACGACTAAGAGGATTAGCATTATTCAGGGTTGATCCCAATAACTTCAACTGGTACAAATGGATATGAACATTTGAATTCTCTTTCAGGAGCCTCTTTGCTTCTGACCCAATGAAATCTATCTGCCTGAAGAATAGGTTCATGTTCAAGTCTGCCTTAAAACAATACTCACATGCCCATATGTACGTTAACAAAAATGTATTTAAAAAGATAGCCAAAGTTAATATGAAGCTTCAGAAGTTATTTGAATCAAGTCTGTATCTTCTATAGTATTTTAAGCATAGAAGCAAGAAAGAAACAAGAAAACCCTGGGGAATTTTTTACTAAAATGACATTTCCTTTGGAAGATACCCACTTCATTTGTACAAACGAGCATGTGAGTATTAGGATAAAACTTAATTATATTGTAGGTGTTGCTTGTCGCCTTCGTATACAGCTTGCTACATACAGTGACACCTGCCAATCCATTATTTGTGGTAATGCTTCAGAAGGTAAACAAACTGTTCCATGAATACAACTTACCCATTTCAAATGCCATCTAGCTTGAATGTGCTCCCATTTGCTTCTGCTTGGCAAATTTTGGAAAACAAAACATCCTCAAAGCGCCTCTCGTCTTGGACTCAGCCCCTTGCTGCTGCACTCTGAATGCATCAATCTTGTGTAAGGCTAATATCTTTATGTCGCGTGTCATGTCCAGGGCCAATAGGAAGTATGTCATCCATGGAGGTGAACGTGGACATGTTGGAGCAGATGGATTTGATGGACATGTCTGACCACGAAGCCCTTGATGTGTTCCTGCACTCTGGGGGAGAGGACAACAGTGCTGCCTCACCTGGCACAGGTAGGTGGCCATAAACACACACACAAGATAGGTGTTCCACAACTAAATTAATTGAAACTATAACAATTCATACAACACTCAATCTCTGAAGTCTACAGCTAATCTATATCAAAACATTAGCTGAAGCTGAAATGTGTCTCATAAGATTGACAAGAATAATGTTTAGGCATGATGCACAAACACCATCTGTCCACATCTGCTTGGGAAATTTCTTGTCAGAGTGAACAACCTACAGCATCTAACTGACAGCTTGTCTTCGTCTAAAAATAGTATGATACAAGAAACTCTGCTACATTTTATGTCTGTAGGCAACTGAGCAACTAGCGAGTTTAAACAAAACCTTAAGAAAACAAATAAAACAGTGCCTTCTTTTTATTTGCAGCTGCTGGTCTAGGAGAGCAAATAAATAATACATAATGATAAATAATAGATTGATTGGGTTTTATTTTAAAAGAAAGGGATGACTTGTACAAACACTGAAAGGAAGTTCACCAGTTTCAAACTGGAGGATCTGATGGTACCACTGCTGCCTTACTTACCCACCTCTACCTAGTACCTTCCCCACCTATCCTAATATGTATCTTTTTAAAACAAAATCTGCAGTTATTTAAGTGACTCCTCTGCCTTCCAGGTCCAGACGTTGAGTCTTTCACCACAGAGATCAGTCTCCAGGTTCCCACCCAGGCTGAGCTACGCCATAAGCTTTCTTCCCTTTCGTCCACCTGCACCGACTCAGCCAGCCAGGACACAGAGGCGGGGGAGGAGGATGAAGAAGAAGAGGAGGAGGAGACTGAGCAAGGAGGAGGAGGTGGCGTTGGAGGATCAGGGGGAGGAGGAAGGCGAGCAAGGGCATCTGTGGTGGTGACAGTTGATGAAGAGGAGGTGCCCCCCGATACAGCTTTGGTAGACCATGAGGACCAGACCAGCAAAGACTGTGAGGAGAGCAGGCTGAAGGTTTGAGGAGAGATGGATTTAAACATATACATAAACAATATTGGCTTCCTTCTCAAATTCCTTTCATACTGAAGAAAGAACATATGAAAGAAAGTAAATATGTTGCACTAACTGCCACATGGCCTTGCCTTAAAAGAACAGAGTTTTCAATTCTAATTAAATCCTGTAAAATATCTTTGAGTTCCCTTTAGCATAATAGCACTGAATGGTTTAACATGCACATAAATAGTTTGACATTAATTAGAGGATGCTCTAATATTCTCTTTCGGTGTTAGTGCATGCTGAGACCAGGAGAGGCCTGTTACTAATAAGTGATGGGGACATAGAGAAGCATACACTAAAATCATCCATGTGTCTCTCTGCAGTTTTTCACGCTCTGTGCTAACACTTGAGCATTCACTCTGCTGACAGACTGCAGCTGATGAGCATTAATGTGTGTTGAACGTTGGTGAAACCTTTGCAGGATAAAAATATATTTGTACCAAATACTTGCCAATTGTAAAAGGCTATCATCAGATCTGTCAGGTTTATGACATTTTATTTTTAAATCACTAAAAGTAAGTCTTCTTTTTGTTTGTATGTATGTATCACATGGGGGGGGGGGTCATCTCACTGACCTCTCGTGGTATCTAGCCATGGTTTTCTTTGCTCAGGTAGTGACTTTTGTGTTGAAAAATGACAATTATTTTAATGGCAACTTGTCTTTTGAGAAATCCTTCCTGGTTAAGCTTAAAAAGTCACATACCTCTCTGTCAACAGTTGTCACAGGAATTTTGCTTTGATATCTCAAAAGCTGGGCATATACATCCTAGCACAAACCTTTTAAAAAAGCAAATGCTAAATTCTTAGCACAGAGCACTTGACAAATGATCTACAAGAGGCACATGGATGAATTTTCATGTCTTTATAGATAAGCTGAGGCCCAAAAGCTAGTTGTATTTCTTTAACTAGTTTATAAGCTAGATTCTGCAATATTTTAAGCGTAAACAACCAATTAGAAAATACTTTTGTGCCAAACATGACATAATAACTGGCAGTCAGCTGGAAGTGGGTTATATACTGCAAAGCTGACAGACTTGTGGAGTTCAGGTACCAGGGTATCAATGATTTAACACACACAAATACACACATTAAGGAGATTTACCCATTGCCATTCCTTTAATCAATACTACTTGGGTGAACTTCTCCTTTTGAACGAGGACCAAATCCCTGTTTGGACTGTGCGCTATGCGCTGGACGACACCCAGAAGGTTTAAATGTATCCAGATTTTTTTGTACAGAAATGTTGACATTTGTGCAATGTGACAGCATTAATCCTTCCTTTCTTTTCCCCTGCCTACAATTTCTGACTTGTTGGTAATAAATGTTTCTCCCCTAGTATTGTTTAATTTCCATCTAAGCATTTCAGGAACAAGTTAAAGAATGAAATGTGAGCAGGATTCAGGGTTTGAACATGTTAACAGCCCCTGTGCGCTCACTACTTGATTTACAGTCCTGCCTGAGCTCTTTACAAATGGAAAGCTGACACGGTGAGGGAATGGATAGATTTATAGTGTGTTCTGTAGGAGAGGGACAGGGTTTTGAAATACAGGGGTTGTCTGTTGGGAAGGGATATTTTACCTTGCATCTATTCATTATTACAGTGAAATGTTTTTCAACTGAAAAATAAGGAAGAGCAATACTAGTTATGCTGAGAGTGAATGACATCTGAAGGCTGAGAGTGGATGTGTTCACTGGGAATAGTAAATAGCTGGTGTCGATGCGTGACAGTCACTCCAGTGCACTTTAATTAAGGTTATCAAACTACAGGACCCTCCAACTGTACAATGTGTGGCATGTGAATAGAGTGATAAGCTCAGTGTTTAATGAACATAAGAGCACTTCTAATATATCCCACACCTGTTGCTGCGTACTATGGAATTTGATGTCATGGTACGGCCTTTGTATTTGTATTGTAGTGAACCAAATTACATCAAACTTCTGTTTAATTTTTTCTCACTTACCTCTAGTGTCTATCTAGCAATGCAGAGAGTTTGGGAAGTACAGATGCTGCTGGTTGCACCACACCCTAGTACAATGAAGGTGCTTGGACATTTGTTTCTGGTGCTCATAGCATTAAAAAAAAGGAGATTTAACAGTAATGGTTCTTTCCAAAAACAACATAATTCCTCAACAACCCACAGGCCTCACTGTCAACAGTTTTAGCTGGAACAATGTTCTACCAAATAAGTAGTTCCAGCAAAGGTTATATACTGTCTGGATACACTGCATGGCTAAATTAGGGCTGCAGCTAAGCTTTTATTTTTATTGTTGATTAAATCAGTCAGTTAATTAGTCTCTGATAGAGGTTTTCAAAGTGGGAGGCGGGCCTCCCCAGGGGGGCTCCAAACAGTTTCGGGGGTACCTCAGTCAATGGGAGTGAAAATACTACATTAGTTATCAGGACATGACATAGAATAACCAACTTCCACATTAAAAGGTAAAGGGAGATAGTTCAGAGATGCAGTATTTTTAGGGAGGTTTATCTTTCCCAGAGTCATAAACTAATAACTGCCTTAGGACAGACCTTTATGTATTTGGTTTAGTCTGAAGTTATGTCAACAAGCAATATTAGGCTATTAGGCTCAATTGTTGAGTGTCTATGGGATATCAAATTATATAATCGCGATACCGTGAGCATCCAGGAAATGAGTGAAACTTTGCAAGTAAACTAAGTGGGGGTGAGGGGCCTTTTTCCAAGCTTTGTCTGAGGGGAGGCCCAGTCTGACTCTGAAAACCCATGGTCTATACTATGCAAAAACATTAAAACAAGTCCATCACAAGTTCCCATAGCCCAAGGGTTTTTTTTTTTTTTTTTTTTTTTTTAGATGGAACCATCAAATCTTGGCATTTTTGCTGTAAAATGACAAGAGTAATCACGTATCAAAAGAATTGCTGATTAACTTTCTGTCAAGTGACTCATCGATTTAATTTAACCAATCATTTCAGCTCTTGGCCAGATACCGCTAGAGGTACGGGGGGAAATTATTTTGTAAACTGGCTGAAACGGCCCGTTAATGTTAGCAGATGCAACCAGATACCAGCTTGAAATCTAAATTATGATGCTGTTAAAATCATTCCTTCTTGCAGTCATGTCAAAATTCGGCACAAAAAGAGACACAAGCAGATTGGAAAGAAATGACAGTGAATTGTCTGTAAGTTTTTATTAAACCTTAAGTACAAACTGCAAAAGTAAAAAACTGTCAATATAACCAACATGAGACTCTCTTTCCGAGTGGAGGGAAAGGCCGAGATACGGCACTAATAAATTAAGTCACCAGAGACCCCACCGTGAGCAAGTAGTTTATACTGTAGAAAATGGAAGAAACAAACAGACAGAACTGAAAAACAAACAAAAAATCCCATCTGAATAAAATATATTGTAAGGCCATAAAAACTTGACAACCACTTTATTATGTTGAAAACACCCGACTTGGTATTTCATTAAATAGTCCTAAAACAGTTCAGTCTTCTGCGAGGGACGACAACCAACAAACTGGATTATAGGATTTTTCCTTGACAGTCACCACTGGCAAGCTCAGTGCAACATGAGTAGCTACTACATTTTTGTTGAATTTTCAGTAATGAAAATGTAAAAACCCACTTTTTTATGAACATCTCTTTTTTTCCCTTTTCTTTAAAAAAGTAAAGCTAAACAAACAAAACTAGGTTGGGGGGGCAGTCGTTGGCTACTCAATATCTTCTTTCTTAGTGATATAAGCAGCACTTAAAATTTTTTATACACGTTTACCAGAGCAACCCTGTAAGCGTCAAACTCACATGGATGAAGAAAGGGAAATGTAAGGCTTTTTCTTCATCAACCACTCTCCTCTGGAACTTTTTCTCTCTTCCTTCTTTTCTTTCTTCCTTAACCCCAGAAAAAGGCTCAAGTATTTAAAGAAATTTACAGGATTATGTACAAAAAAAAGTTGATGTTTTGTTTGTGTTGGACTTTTTCCTCTCTCTAAAAATCACTCATATCTGGAAAAGGGAAAAAAATGCAAAAGCCAAAAAAAACAAGACAGTTTTAAAAAAAAAACAAAAAAAACTCAGATTTCATATTTCACATTTTACACTCTTTGACTAGTGGCTCTACTTGAGATAACACATCAGATCAACAAAAGTAAAAAACACAAAATAATTATAATAATATAATATAATAATTAATGTTTACTGGTACAGATGAAACAAGAGGACTGGAAGAATGGAATGTTAACACGATTGCACATCTAGAACCAGAAAAGCCTGAAAGCCTTTCTGCCCTGTGGGGTGGGGGTGAGCTAGCTGTTAGCTGATAGCAGACGCTAACCCCCAGATTTTTAATTTGTGTTGTTATACAGTAATTATAACCAACAGCACCAATAAAATGGATCTCCTCGCTAAGTATCAGGCACCATTTTCACTTGCTCGCAAAGGAAGGATCCCTCCATACTACCAGGAAGTCAGGTGAGCGGTGACCTTCACAGGTCAAGCAGCTGTAGCTCTGCCCCCTCTCACATCCACCAACGAACAGAAACACCCACAATGACCAAAAAAAAAAATACACAGAAGACTTCTTGCAAAAAAACCTAGCAAAAAACAAAGCTAAAATTCAAAACAGAACTTTAAAAAAAACAAAAAACATAGCCAACCAACAATAAACCAACATAGTCTGTCTTTCAAGTTTTTACCTCGCGCCACCAACCCCTCCCCCCTTTTTCTTTTAAAAACCAATGCAGGAGCTGCATCAAGAAAGAATAAAATCAATTAAAAAAAGGACTCCTCTTCCTCAAAACAAGGACAGAGAGAAACTTTGGGTAACTACTTACTTGATGTCATTTTCATTTCAGAAAACTGGGGAGGAAAAAAAAGGCCGCCTTTTCATTTGTCCCATGTTCACACAGTTGAGTGACACATGATGAGAAGGGATGGGGGGGTTCAGTCTCAGGGCCGAGATGAGGGCGGGAAAGAGTGATGCAAGGAGAAGGTAACAAATGTAACCCATTTCAGTTAAGGGAGGATGGTGGTGGAGGTAAAAGGGTATAACAGGGTCCATCAAGTCTTCTTGTGAACGTTACACTTAATGCTTGTAATGTTGTAAAGGGCGACTTAAGGAGGGACGGGGGATTCTAAAATCATCCAGAACAAAAACAAATTCTTCTTTCACACTAGTGCAAAAAAGACATCTTGCTTTTCTTTTTTTTCCTTTTCTTTTTTATAAACAAGACTGTCATACTAAGGGGGGAGGTGAATATTTTTTTTGGGGGGGGGGGGGGGGGGGGCTGAGGTCAGGTGAGGGGAATTTCAAAGCTCAAAAACAATCAATCTTAAATATTAGGTGTTGGAGGAGGGATTAATAGTGATCCTGCTTTATGTGAGGAAAAAAAACAAAAACAAACAAAACACAGGAGTTTGGGAGGGTCAGAGCAGGATGTGGGAACAGCGCACCGGGTGGCGATGTCGAGGCGCCCCCTCAGGACACAGCAGCGGCCTTGGGTATGTGGCTGGAGGACAGGCGTGCCAAGGACACCTCCACGGTGGCGCGCTTTCTGGGGCCTCGCTTCGCCGGTGATGCTTTGGCTGGGCTTAACCCGTGGCAGGGGTCCCCTACTCCATTGATGACGACAGCACCGCCGCCGCCTCCATTCTTTAACATGGCCCGGCCACACACCTGGTTCACCAAACTGTTGATTTGCTCCTGATTAGAAGGCCAGAAAAAAAAGATTAAAACCTGAATCATTTAACAATGAACATTTTAGATTTATTTTACAATATACTTCTCTAACTTAATTTTGTTCATCTATAATTTATTCAGACACAGTAGGAATTACAGTATTGACACAAGAAAATAGAGCACATGAACACAGACATGCTGAACAATCTAATCTCTGGAGCAGTGTAAACCTAGCTTATGTCTCCCCCATCTGGACAGACAGAGAACTGAATCACAGCAACAATCAAACGGGCAGCTCACCTCATCATATCGATACATCATCTTAAGGCCTCTGCAGGACTTGTGCTTCTCCACATAGCGCAGGGCACACTCCAGACAGAAGACCACATTGTCAGTCTCCTGAACCACCTGCACAGACAGAAACCGAGACAGAGACATTACTGTAGAAACCAGACACTCAACTCAAGACTTCTCTTATTACTGAGATGTTGGGAAACCTGATAAATCATTTAAATGTCTCCACTCTGTCTGTATTATGCCACTGGTAAGTTTGCATATATTACAACATTCAATTTGCTAACATTGTTATAAAACACATTATTTATTTATATATATACACACACACACACACACACACACATACATGTACGTATGTATATACATATACACACACCTCTCTCTCTCGATATATATATAGCTTTCTTGAAGGACATCCTTGATTGAGAAGCTAGCACTATAGCATTTTAGAATTTAAGTCCGTATATCTTATTGCGTTAAACTGCTGCTCTCACCATGGACAGGTAGCAGAGATGCTGACAGATCTGGCAGCGTCTCTCCGAGGACTCCAGTGCCAGCCATTTCCCGCGGGGCTTTTTGCGTCCCTCACCGGGCCCCAGGCTGCTGTCATGGGTGCCGTAGCGAGCAGAGGAGAGCAAACCTGCCTTGTAAAGTTCCTGCCGTTGGCGCATCTCTATGTTCCTATTGGACAAGAAAGATGCTCACTAAGTTGGATGTTAGGGGAGAAGAATATTTTTTAAGGTCAAATAAATAGAAGATTCAGTACCCTTAATGCAACATTTGACTGATTCATTAAATAGTGGAAATGACAGTTTGATCATTTTAAAGTTTTCACTTGCATATAAAATTCTACCTTTTAGAATAGTAACCGCATATGTAGCGTATGTGTATGTTTGAAGACTGAGAGTATGTGCGCATTTAGGACCCCTGCTCCATCCTACCTGAGGTCTTTGAGTAGGGCAGAGATGGTGGTGAGGAGAAGGCCATTATCCCTCTTGGATTCAGCTGTAGCAATCTGGTACAGTAGCTTCTCCATGGAGAAGGGTTTGGCTATGCGACGACATTTCAGGTCCTGCACACAAATTCAGAATAGATTACAAATTATGATTCTCATTGAATCAGTAGCAGACTGTTGATGTGTTCTGTGGTGTACATTTTTATGTCTCAAAATAAAAGACACCACTCCCCCCCCCCCATTGGTAATTTATTCAACCTGTTTTGTTTCCTTTTTTTCCCCCCAGAGGTTTACACACATTCAAATACAGATATTTTAACTAGGTAAAGTGAGAGTAAAGCAAGTAGACTGGTAAGCTCCAACAATGTTGATAATGTTGTTGATAACCATTTGCAGTGTAACCACAGACTCTGTACACTCAGATAAATATTTTGTAAGTACAAATTGTCTACCATTTGGAAGAAAATGTTTCAGGCAGTGCACCAAATACAGTACATTGTATGAATGTCAAATTACCCTTGAGAGCAATCTTTGCTGTGGCTATGAATACGATGGTATTGCTGAAGGTATACGTACTTCCATCACTATAATGTCCATAATGACAGTAAGGAACATTTTCTTCTCTTTTACTGCCTTAATGAGGTCCAACGGCTTCCTCATGATGACAGAAAAAATCTAAATACACTCCCCCAGGAGACTTACAGCTGCAATTACCCCTCAAAGTTCAGCACACTGGCTGATTAGAGAATCAAGCTCTAGGTTCTAAGTTCATTTATTCATTTCAGTTTCAATCAACTTTACATAAATCAGAGCTTTAACTGCCACTGTCCACAGGGGGCCAGTGTTGTGAGGTATTACAAACCAGGAGTGAAACAAAATAACATATCTGTAATACACATAACACAGGCAAAATATTAATTCCAGAGACATTTTGATTCTATATTTCATATTTAAAGAAAACATGTTGCCCTTATTGCACATTTTGTTTTCCCATATACAGTATGTGCCATTTAGTCATTTAACATGGCCCTTGTACTGATATGCCGCCCCAGATTCAGGATCATATGCTGACCTTTGCAGCTTGGTAACCCAGGTTCATCCAGTGGGGTGTAGCAAAATGCACCGTCTCTGACACGCTGTAGCCACAGCACACTTTAGAGACAAAGGCTCCGGGAAAGCACACCACAAACTGGCCGCTCCTCTGGACCGTGCGGTGAACCTTGATGCCTTCACGGCACAGCACCTCTGGAGAGATCTGGAAGTTCAAAGAGGAGTAAAGGAGAGAAAGAAAAAAGTGTTACATTTCTGAAACTGTATCTTTTCAGTAATGAAGTGCCTTTAGAAAGTACTATGACTGATGAAAGACTGCAAAGGTTTCTAACGTGATTATTGCATTACAAAGAAACAGGGCAAAATATTTCAGTTCGCATCGACACAAAACACTGACCATGATGTTCTTCTCCAACATTTCCAGTCCCGGGGTGCCATTGGCCTGAAGCAGTGTATGGACCACCTTGTCCATCTTAGCCTTCTCCTCAGCAGGGACAGAATACCTGTGGGAGAAACACACCGAGACAGAGACATACTAAATATTCCTTCAGGAAAAGGATCAGTTGACTTTACCTCACTTTCAGAGAACTGTGTACAGAGGGGAGACTTTTCCCCAACGGGTTTCCTTGCTACTTTTACATATGTTTAAAAATTTACAGTATTAGAATTTGGTGTTGAGTGGGATTGGGTACACAATACACCAGGAACAATGAGGAGAAGTGCCCAGTGCATACTTACCAAATGCAATCAGCACCAGTGTGTAAGTAATCAATATATGGAAGGCGATTTTGGTCTCGAGACCAGCATGAGGTAGAAAAGACCATGCCAATGTTAAGCCAGGGAATGGTCACCCCTGGGGAGACAGAGGGGTTTAAAGAGAGAGCATAGGTTATTATTTACTGCAAAGTACTCAAACAATAGCACAGAATTTGTAGCGATGCAGCAAAAAAGTAATTTACTCCCTATATATATGACATGGGAGCATTATGCAACTTTGTCTTGCGCAGAGTATGCTATTGAGCAGCTACAGCCTTTATGCGGTGTACAGAACTGTTTTTACATTCCCTTACCAGGCACAGCACCCAGATGCCTCAGAATGGATCCAGAATTATTGGGGAGGACAGTGAGGTTCCATCCATGTCTGAGGAAAGAATAAGAGAAAATGATGATTTGTGCATTTTTTTTCCCCAAGGTTACCTAAAGAATACCTTGGTAAGATTGCTCAAGGGCGCCTCCATGGTCACTCTCGAGGAAGCGGGCAGTGTTACTCTTTAGGTTTCTCAGCACCGATTCACCATCTGAGATTCATATAGTCTTGCAACACGGGCAGAATACCCTGTCCAAACTTTCAATTGAGTAAGGTCTGAGTAAAGGTCCGTAAGTGTTACTTACTTTGAAAATGGCTCTGACTTTCCTGTGGGGAAACCACTGCCATGTGTACTGGTGTCCACCTTCCCACAATGCACCGTCACATGGGTATCTCTCTGCTCCACAATCCTCCAGTACTCTTGCTGCAAGGAAAGGAAGAAAGGCCGATCAGTGGAAGAATGCATGAAGCAGGGTGCAGGTTTCAGGTGTGCCTCAGTCAATTATGTCAACTAACTGAACAGGTGCTGCTAGCGGAGGTCTTTGAGAAACTCCTGTTTGAATGATTTTCTTATAGTTAAACATTTGTTCAATGCTTTGAACTGGCAGCTTAACTGGCAGCAACTAAATGTTTCATTAAAAAAAAAGCTTTTGTATACAATACCGTTAACATTGAATACAAGTAGTTTAATCAAGATGTTAACATGCTAACCTCAACTTCAGCAGCTCCTGGTTCCTTGTTAAAGCACATGGTCATGGTGTTCCGGGCTATCCTGAAGAAGTTAGTCAAAGACACAGATTTCCCCTGAAACAAAGAGGCATTAAAACATGAGTCACAGCATGCTAAAGGGGTCTGAGGAAAAAAATAAAAAAAGCCAGACTCACACCATATATTCATGGTCTTTGGTCATGTGAGAAAAAGCAAGCGTGAATAAACCACGAGCAAAGAAAATACTGCTGGATGTCAATGAACTGCAAGCTCTTCTCTTTCCCACTATATGTTTGTATGAGTCAAAACGTCATCAGGAAAGCATTATGTTTAAAAGAATGCATGTACTGTATGTCCATGGACAAATGTATCAACTGTACATGTCTCTGTAAGGCTGTGCCTTGGTGCTTCACCTACAAGTCCCAGATAAATTCCCCTGGACTTGACCCAGTCTCCCATGGACGCTCCTTCTACAGAGAAGCTTTGAAGGTTACCATAAATCTGCCGGCCCCGGGCCTAGAGATGTACAGACCCTGCTGAAAGATGACCTTGCGGATTCTTTATCCTCACTGTGACAGTTTGTCTTTGTCTTTTCCCTCCTTAGGTGTCTAGATGCTTTCAAAAAGTAACTGGCCTTATTGCAACCTATTTTATTACAATAGCTACAGAGCTGTGAAATAATGCAGTTGAATAACACAGTACAGTAGTGACCTAGTAAGCGCTGACAAGACTACGTTTGGGGCGAGTCAGTAGCAGCACTTATCCAAGCCTTTCCTGGTGTAATTTGAGTTAATTATACCCCTGACATGCACTTTGTTCTCTTGATAGAAAAAGTGAAATATAACCTTCTCTTGGGGGCCGCTCGTGATGAAAAATGCATACAAATCTGAGCTGTGGAGAAAAGTGATGGGTCATATTTAGACAAGTCTGTCCTATCAGGATGGTGACAGCCATTCACATGCCACCATGCTGAATAGTACTTCTATAATTCAGAGGTCTTTGGATTGTACTGGGTCAAGTCTCTTGACAATATCTCAGTTCTTCAGAGGGAGGTCATATGGAGGGATTTAGTTACCAAAGGAACAGGGAGGGAAAAATATCAAATGCAATCCACATTGAGGATTACACACGGTGAGAGTGAGTGTGAGAGAGACACACAAATTTAAGTTATCTTAATTACAGAAATAATTACTGTTTCACCGTATCAAGATGCCAAATATGTGCACACACAAGCTTTTTGAAAATAAATATTTCAATAATAACAACAACAACAATGTGTTTGCACATGTGTATTTCTACACACAAAAAAACTGCTACCCTTTGCATTGATGTACATGTTTAGGTGTGTGTATGGGGTGGGGGCTTGGCAAAGGTATTGGCAAGAGGACAAGGCACGATAGAGAAAGACGGTCGGCGAGAGGACCGGAGATTTGGGGAAATAGCTTAGAGCAAGGGCATGGTCTGAAGGAGAGAAGCCATGCAGAAAGGGCTGGATTAAAGGAGCGGAGAGAGCTCGGGGGGGGGGGGGGGGGCAGGCGTGAGGGACGGGCTGCTTTGGGGGCTGCCTTCTCTCTGACCTACATTTCAGCCAGCCAGAATCAACACAGCTGCCAGCAGGCTGGGGAGGTGGGGATACATCCAATGTGTGTGAGTGCACCAACAAGCAAGACTACTGACCACCTTACACACACACACACACACACACACACACACACACACACACACACACAGCTGCACAGAAATCTTTAACAAAACCACAGGACATGCAAGGTACAAAAAACCCTGTCCCTCAACCACACACCCAAAAAACAGGCCTTGACAATACATGACACATTTACATGTACTGCTGCATGTAAGCAGGTGTGCAAACCTCTTATGTTTGCTTTTATGAACCACAAACTCAGTTAACAGCATGATAATGTTAACAGTGATTAAGAATTTCAAAAGGCATTAACACCTTTGCAGTTCACACCACAGTAACAGCCTCCCTATAAGACAAACCCAGTCATAGAATGTTGTGACAATTTATAGCACAGCTTAGCTCCTTCTGAAGATAGGGTGCATATTTTGTCACTTAAGAACTGGCACAGTGATATCGAAACACTCAAATGTTAGTGGTGATACTATGAAAGGCGTAGGTTGTTTACACCTCATGTGTGACATTAGTCTTGATTCAGACAGTAGTGAGATGGCAGACACCTGGCTGAGCAATAATGTGGCCTTTGAAGACTGCTCAGTCGCTGATAACGAGCTACAAAAGGTCTGACATTTACCATCTCAACAATGTGTATACCATTTTTGATTTTAGTTCAGGCATGCCATTTAACAGTGTGGACTTTAGGACGCCAACATACTAATAAACAATATCAAACAATCTATAACAGTTGGCTATATATATATATATATATATATATTTATAGATAGGAACTTAAAAGCTTCTTCTATTTTAAATAAAGTTAGACGCAGGAGATTTGTTAGGTGTCTTTGTGTTGAGTAATCTTTTCTGGGACAAAAATGAAAACCATGGCAACCATTATAAGGAGACGGGTAGGCCAATAAGGAGGTGACATCCAGAAACGTTTCTATGCCTTAGCACTAAGTGCTTATACAAAAGATGTAATGAACAACTTACCCAGAAACAGTTAACAGTTGTTAACAGCACTTAACAACCAAAAGAAACATTTCTGTGCTTCTTATATCTATGCTTCAAATATCTGGTATAAAACATAAACAGCTAATGTCTTCTTCATCCTCACCTTGTTAATACATTTGTGCTGGTCACTGAGAACGCCCCTGTCCTCCTCCTCCTCCTGCTGCTGCTGCTGCTCCTGCTGCTCTTCTCCATGCTGCCTGTCCTCTTTGCCTTGTTTTTCCTGAGTGAAGAGCCGGCGTCGGCCCGCTTTGACCTGAGCCTCCAGCTCTTTCAGACGGTGATACACTCCATTGGTGCGGTGATGCCCTGTCGCCCCTCCCACTATCCCACCTACTAGCCCGTTCTTGGGCTCATAGCGTGGCAGCACCAGTGCACTAGGTGCTGAGGAGTCCGAAAGACCCTCCAGAGGGCCCCGGCGCGACTCCAGGTTCTTTTTCTCATGCAGCACTTCGGCCTGCAGTCTGAGGCGCTCCTCGGCGCTGAGCGAGTCATAAGATAGGATGTACTGGAGGTACGCCTCCTGCAGCTTGGCCAGCCGGTCCTGCGCGGACTTAGGGATGCGCAGGAGGTCGGCCAGCTTGGTCCACTTCTTCAGGTCCATCACCTGCTGCATGCCGCCCATGTCATTGATGAGCTGGAAAAAACGTGACAGGTCCACTTCACAGCCACCTGCGTGGAGCAGAAGGACAAAGAGAAGGTTAATTGAGAGAAAAAGAATGAGGAGTAAGCTTGGTTGTTGTTGCTATTTCAATAACAGAAATTGTGGCCCACCCAATAATGCGGTGTGTACACAGGGAAGTTGCCCATTTTCACTTGTTTAAACTCAGGTTTTGAAAAGAACAACACAGAAATCAAATCAAAAAGACTATCATCTTGGAGCATCTGCTCCTTTGGCTAAACATGCCGTTCCGTCAAGCCCATTTCATTTTATTTGAAACAGCAAATTGAGCTATCACCTTTCAAAATGATCTGAACCATCATTGTGCCAAACAGAGACACACATTCTGTTAATGTAGAACTGATCTGCTGGGCACAGTAAAGGAAGTCATTTGGAACCAGGGCATCCTGGCTGGCTGAAGCCATTCCACTGTGGCTCACTGGCTGCCAGGTCTCTCTGGCTAACAGCCGCATACCAACTGTACTCACACTGGGCTAATCTGAATACAGCTGTATACAAAAGCAACAGCGCATGTGCAACACAAACCAGTACAAGTCTAATATGTGCAAGTCTGTACTGCACTGTATTGTAATGCACATACAGAAAAGTCTAAAAGCTAATAAAACATTTATGTCATTGTGAAAAATGGAAGGTGACGGGACAATCTGGGGAAATGCGGATTTTCATGGTCAGTCAGGCCCCTTACCAAGTTGTTCCACATTATGATTGTCACTAGTAAACGAGAAGACAAATTACATTGTACATTTCATACATTATCTTCCTTTGATGTACTGTATCTAGTTCATCACTTTCTTCTCTTTACATTCAATAAAAGCTGGAGAAACAACCAGAGACGGGGCTGAGAGAAGGCCTCAGTTTGGAATGGGGTGTCTGGGTTTAAATTGTGTACATTCACATATACATGTGCGTTTGTCTCACTTACCAATGACAGGTGGCTCATCCATGGTAATGCCCTGAGATTTGAGGTGCTTGCGGATGCAGGCCAGCCGCTGCACGTTGGGGCCCCAGCGACGGCCCAGCATGTGGACCCTCTGCACCTGTGTAACAAACCGCATCTCCTCGCTCAGCTTGCACTCTGGCCGCCAGTCTGGGGGCGGGACCACGCGGCACATGCCAGCCTCCTCAGCCTGTTCCCTCACCGCATCCAAGTATACCAGGGGGTCCTGGAACTCCCTTGGCACTGGCCGAAAGACAGGGACTTCACCTAGTGCTGCCCAGCCCTCTGGCCTGCTCCGTTGGCGCTCCCACTCCTTCTCCTGCTCACGTTCCTTCTGGCGTGCCATCTCTTTCTCATACTCCCACTCCTTGTCACGGTCAGTGGTCCGCAATGCTGCTGGTTTGAGCTGTCCGGGGTTGTTGGTGGAAGTAAGCAGAGAGGAGGTCATGGAGGAGGACACAGAGGTTTGTTGGGGGTCTGAGGTAGTGCTGGCACGACTGGGGTTCTGTGGGTGATTCTGGCCTGATGATGGGGAGGAAGAGGAGGAGCTCCGACCATGAGACCTGCTCTGCTGCTGCTGTGCTTGTCGAATCAACATCAGCTTGCCAGCCGATGCCCGCTTGGGTCGCTGGTTCACCGGCTCTGCATTGGCTGCTGGTGTAGGAGGCGGGGTTTGTTGAGGAGGGGAAGTAGGACGTAGGGTAACAGGTGGAGTTTGTCTAGGAGAAGGGGCTGTTTCTGATTCATGTCCATTAGAAACTGGAGTGGTAGGGGTGATGGTTTGCGTGGCAGCTTTCTCTTGATTGGCCACTTTCTTGCTGCTGCTGCGTGTCTCCAGAGGCGTGGGTTGAAGCTTGGCCTTCTTGGCCTCAGTGCCAGTGGTTTTGGCTTTCTGCTCCACAACTCCTGTACCCACTGAGTTGAGCACCACCTCCAGACGCCGCTTGGAGTTACGCAGTCCCTCTCGACCTGGGCACTCCCCCTGGCCCTGCTGGAACGGTCTTTCCTTGGCCAGGGTGTTGTGCCGCTGCCCATTTAACCTGCCGTTGAGGCGGGCGCCGGCAGCCACATTGTGCAGCCCATTGGATAGTAGCACCTGTTTGCGGGTTTTTGCATTGCTGTGGTGGGCTGGTGCCGCTGCTTTTCCTGAGTTGGCCAGCCCATTGCTGGCTGCTAGCTGGCTGTGCTGATTGTGATTGTTCGCTGACGATGGTGCCGAGGCGGCGCTGTTGTGTTTGTTGCTGCTGCTGAGTTTGGTTTTCTTGCCCAGTTCTTTCTGTTTGGCTTTGGTGTAGGTGACGTGGCCCTTGGACACGGTAGCTGTGTACTTCTTCACAGTTTTGGACGGCAGTCGGAAATCGCGGCTCTTTTTGGCACTACTGATAGCTTGTGCCGAGCCCGCCCGCGTCAGCCCATTCACTTTAGAGACCTGAGATCAACAGAAAAAGGAGATGAAAAGGACATGGTGCACATTAGATGAATAGGATAACAAATCTTATAATAATGCTGTGCATAAATCATGTAAATTAAGTAATATATCTCTTGGAAAACTTTGATGGGGTGGTTATGTTTATAAGCTATGTTATGTTAGGTTATGTTAAGCTTAAATCTCTGTAAGAATCCCATTTGATCAGATCTCTAAATGTTGTACACATGCATGTGAAAGTTAAAAATACTACTGCGTCAAAGATAGCAAAAATGCAGGAAAAAAAAAATAAAAAATGAACCCACACACGGATAAGATTCTATAATCAGAAAGCACGACAAGACACATGCAGGGGCGTGGGCACATCCACACTCCACAATGAAGAGACCAGACATTCAGATGCTAGCACTGCAGTAAAACATTTGGCTGGTCAGACCAAAGCTATTTGTGGAAACCTACACTATTCATTAGAGAACTAATCAAGTGTCTTGATTACTATACTTTCAAATACAGTGCACTTTTGTAAACTGCAGCTCAAACTGCTGTCAACACAAAGGCTGAGATTTGGAAAAGGATATGTGCAAACCAAAACCACTACATCCCGAGATAAACAACAGTTTAGAAGGGGTAGGGAAAAAAAGAGATGGTAGACACGAGAGGGGGAGCACGGATGGCTCCATGGTTTCTGCTAGCAGATGGCTGGACAGTATGAGGTAGTAGTCATTGGGTTGGAATAAAAGCCCATCCAGGCACATAAAAACAGCCATTTATTTTCTATGGGTTTCCTTAAATGCTATAATTCAATTTTTGCGTTATGAATAAAAGGTCCTGCATGTGTGTTTGTGCATGTGTGAGACCGAGAAAAGGAGTGAGTGTGTATGTCCACATGGGTTAGTGAAGTCTTTGAGGCCCCCAGCTGTAGATCAGAGGTTTGGTACTGTGGTGTCTGGTTCCATGGCTGGCTCACTGGCTACAGCTGTGGGAAGAAGCATGGTCACCCTCTCCCTTTGTACAAAGAGCTTTACAGCTGGGCCAGTACATGTTAAAATCCATTGTGTAAAATTAAATTGCGTATAGCACTCTGAAAGACCTACACAATCACTCTTTCACTCCATTACTTCATTCCCCACATCTCCTTTCTTCCACTTATATCTCCCCTGTATGCATTTCTAAGAATATCCACTTTTCTCTCTCTTCCTCTCCCTCCTCGTCTGTGTTTTCATGGCCCACTTTCAGTGCTGCCAGGAGTTTCTCATTCCCCTTTTCCCCCTTCTCTCTCGGATTGGTGTGTATGTGAGTGTTTGAGTGAGCGAATGAGTGAGAGAGAGAGAGAGAAGCACACTATTCTTTGTTTTTGTTCTCAAATATCTATAAATGCAAATTTGTGTCTAACCCTACATTACATGCATTGTTTAATCATATTTCACTGCCAGACATCTACAGTATCTGTGTGTCTCTCTGTCCAGACCAGCTGGAAGTGAACCACAGAAGAAAGAAAGGAGGAGGGATGGGAGAGATGAAGTTATCAATCACAGTCAGGGCACCACAGGAGGGAGGTGGCAGCCGGCCCATTGACAGGTTTGCCTTTGAAGGGCTCTCGTGTCACATTTGTGTGTGTGTGTGTGTGTGTGTGTGTGTGTGTGTGTGTGTGTGTGTATATATACGCGCATGTATTGTATTGGGTTTGTCTCAGGTGGCGGGGGGCTGACACAAAGACCAGGCCATTAAAAGATAAGGGGGGACTGAAACTTAACCCTGCCTCCGTCAATCATTCCCCCAACACACACACACACACACACACTCCTCCTCACAATGGAAAAACACAGGGTGACAAGGCGAGAGGGAGAAAAGAAGGGGTGTTGAGAAGGAGTGAGGGAAAGGGATAAAGGAAGACTGGAAGAGAATTCAGAAACAATGTGAGTAGATGAAGGAAAGCTGCAAAGCAAGTGCTGCAACACTCACAAAAAAAGCTGTACAGTCTCATTGTGGCTTGTTATTTAACAATGAATTTCCAATCTGACGCACAATCTCAGAAAGTTAAGACTTATTTGTATTGTTTAATTAGCCAAATCAATCCAGATGTCAATGTGACAGTTTATTTTGTCATACACTGAAATAGTAACTAAGTGCTAAAGCAGCAGTTGTCCAGATAGCTACTATATTTGTCCAGCCACAGTTTGCTGACAAAGCACTGAATCTGAGACACACACTGTCATGACTGCTTCCTGCCACAGGAGGGCTCAGCGGACCGACTCTCTTCAGGGGGGGTGCTTGGCAAGTGTCCCTCACTTTTCTCTCTTTAATTATTTGGTCTGGTGTAAAAGGAGGATGGCAATAGAGTGATGATGAGGGAAGAACATATGAGGCAGGAGCTAGTTTAGATACTTAGAAAGACTGAAATAAAGAAAGACCAAGAAAGAAAGCAATATTTTAAAAAGGACATGGAAGTTCACTACCGTTAACAACCACCGGCAGAGAGAATTTGAAAAGAAATGAGAAGGACTATGAACAGAACAAGAAAGACAATGAAGCCACAGGGGAAAAATAGAACACACACAGCCGGAGACTCTACTGGAGTGTTCAGTTGCACGTGAGCGGGGAAGGGGAGGGAGAAGGAGGTGGGTCTAGATGACATCATGTGTTGCTATAGCCCAGCTGAGGCCTTGCAGGAAGATTTTTAACAGGCAACATCTGCAGGAGCCAGCCCTGGGAAGAATAGGGGGGGGGGGGGGGGGGGGGGGGGGGGGGGGGGGGGACAGACAGCTAGACAAGGCCAGCCAGAAGAAAGTTTAACCCTTGCAAAGCCCTGCCGACTGACAAAAGAAGGGGGATGAAGAAGAGGTTGGTCATGCAGCCCTACATACAACATTATTGTGTTCGTCACACTTTTACACACATTTTAACTGCATATGGTCAAAGCCTGATTTATACTTGTTCATCAGGATTTTGCAGAATCTCCAATAGTACCAATACTGCTGACAGGCACCTCCTTAAAAACATAACTACACTATCAGGGCAATAAAAGATGCCACGTGGGGACCACAAGAACTGTGATTGGTCAGCTTTGGCTACGTTTCTTTTTTCTTCCAACACGTTTTCCTGATGCTGGCAGAGATGGTTGATGTGAAGACAACATGGGGCAAGTTGAAGAAGTGATGAAGCAAAACCTTTTCCAGTGCAAATATCTCTGTCACCAGGATAATTTAAAAAAATGTAAACACTATAACTGTATAATGAATGCATGACACAGCTCGATAGTGTGCGACACATCCATCAAGCGTTACAGTGGTGCGATGACAATCAACGGGTTAAATCTTATGCTAAACCATAAATCAATTCCTATGCCGGAGTCATTTACGCTGCGACTGCCGGAACACCTTGACGGCGAGTCATAAATCCGGCTTAAGCTTTCTTTCCCCTCTGCTGTCTTATTAGGGCGCAATGCGGCCCTGGGCAGGTTGACTTTTAAGCAGCTAGAGAAAGGTCACTACAGCCTGGGACTAATAACAAACACAACGCAAACTAACCCCTTTTATAAACAAACAGGGAGAGATGTACATACAGGATCTTCAGTAAGCATTTTATTCATATTGGTTTGTTATCTATTTTTTATTTTTCACAGGTAGTTGTATTATGAGGGAGGTTAGTTGAGGATGGGATGAGGACAAAGACAAACAACTAAACAAGAAAGTGCACACATTTCAAATGATGCAGAATCGGCTAAATGGTTTGGCCCTGCACACCCCACCTGCGCTAGCTGCTGCTTGCAGCTGCTTTGCTGACATCCCCACTTTTGTTATTTAATTAAAATGGATAGAATCATATTGTTTTATAAAAAGGTCCTGTTACTGCACATGTATTTTGTTGATACAAGCTGCTATTAAATTAGGGAGAACTGAATCATGGTGAATTGAATTATGATAATGCCTTTACCCTCTGGTTTTACACACACAACCCCTAGTTCGTTTTACGGCTACATAATCACTTAACCTTTTATATGGCTTAGCCTGTATTTTCGCAGTTGGCCGTGTGTATAAATGTGTGCGGGTGTGTCTTCAACACACATGGTTAAACGCACATACTGTTCATGCTAATTGAAGGGAGAGCAAAGAGGAGAAAAAAAAAGCACTAATCCTTCCAAATGATTGGAGCCATGTTGTCAAGGGCAAGATCCGTCTGTTTGACACAGGAGCAGAGAGAGAGAGGGGCTGAGAGAGAGAGAGGCATAGGGACATAAAGAGAGAGAGGGAGGAGCATGAAGAGAAAATGAGTGAAAGAGAGCTGGAGATAGAACGAGTGAGGTTGAATGAGAGCGCAGGAGGAAAAACTAAACACTATTCGAGGAGATGAGAGGAGTCAAAAGAATCACGGAGGGTGCCAACAGTGAATTGAAAAAGAAAGAAAGTAGAGGAAGAGCCAGAGACTAGTGAGTAAGTGAGGTTGAAGTTTGCCTTGGCAGGCGGTCACTCTCATTGAGATTCGTTGTTGGTTTTACTGGACATTTCCAGCATTTGCCTGAGTCTGCATCAACAGCAGCACATTGCAACAACATTGCATTCAACAAGAATGGAAATACAGAGGAGGAATAGGAAAAGCAAAGGACAGAAAGGAAGCAAGGAAGCAAATGAGAGAGAAAGGGAGAATGAAATGTGGTGCCTCAGCAGACAACTGCTTCTGACTAGCCGCTCCTCGTAAGATTTTTTTTCTGACTAATGCCACCCCTACCCCATCTCCTCCTCCTCTTTCACTTTGTGGGGTTCCTTGAAACCTGCTTAGTGCCACAGAGAGGGAGGCAGGCTTTCACAGCCCCTAGCCAGCACTACTAAATATAGCTGCAGTCACGACAGGCCAAAACACAATCATTACTCTCCCAGACACAATGGATAGAGGAGAGGATGAGGGAGAGGGGAGAGGCGAGAGGAGAGGGTAAAAGGAAGAGCATGGAGAAGGCCAGGCAAAGGAGGAAACCAGCAATAAAAAGAAAGTATGGGAGGGAGACAACAAAGGCACAGGAGTGGTTAGGAGAAATCATTGAGAGGAAGATAAAAAGAGGATGTGGCAGATGGATAAATGAAAAGAAGAGAGGGGAGGATTTCAAATGGGTATAAATAGCCCAAACAAGCACGCTGCACCTCGAGCCTGTTAATGCGGAATATTCCATGGTACCGCCACTTATAACACCGCTAATGCAAACCATTCACCCCGCATAGAAGTTTCCCTATAAGAGAATACTTTCCCTTCATGCTACGGTCACATTTTCCAAGCTCTCCTGAGGAAGCTATAGAAATGCTTTCATCCTTTCTGTGTGATATTTAGCATGTCATTGCTTTGTCATCCATTTCAAAGTCCTATACTGGTCACTCCCGTCCATCAGTACCTGTTTGCGTAGCTCCTCAGAAGCTCTCCTCGACGGCAGCCCATTGGCTGAGCCTCGAATGCTGGCCATAGCCTGCTGCTCCCTCGCATGCTCTCGTGCCTCAGCCCGCTCACTGCGCTCCCTCAGTAGGGGCGGAGGGGGAGGCGGAGGAGGCGGCAGTGGCGGGGCGGGCGCATCCCTGCCATGGGTTCCCGTCTTGGGCCTCGGACTCTCCCTGGTCCCTACTTTACCATGGCTGTTGAATACTGAAAGGGAGAAAGAGAGGAGTCAGGTATGTGGCTTTTGGGTTTCTTAATTAAAATGGAAGAGGATAAAAAAAAACACGTTAAGGACAGATCTCTTATAAGCTGAAAGTGGCAACTCACATATATACACACTTGTAAAAGCTGTATGGGGCAGCAAGAGTTGAAATGAGCTGAAATGACACTTACTCAATTTAGCAAGGTATTAGTTATATTGTACTGTCTCTTGACCAGTGATCATTGATTAAACTAACTGGCTAGTTGTATATCTGCTCCAGTATATGAAACCGGCATGCCTTCATATACTTCATGAAGAGACCTTTGGGTTCCTGTTATATTTAGGGCTCTATGATTGTTTTGCACAATTCACTGTTACATGTGTTAAATGTGTACATATGTACACATTTCTTTACAAGTTCTGCAACCTACTATAAATTCCTAATGTGCACAAGTCACAAGCAAATAAATAAAATAAATTAAGCTCCTGTAAAGAAAACAAGACACTGCTTGTTAGGCTACCATCTGCCTATGCCAATATGTGGACGTACTGCGAGTCTCAATACACCCCCTGTAGTGTAGAATGGCCCACACAAACATTGGAGCGACAGACTTTTGGCTGACATATAGCCCCCAATCAGTAAAATATGCATGATTTAAGGTGTGTATGAAAACGTCTTTATACTACATGTCAATGAACCTGTTCAAAATGGACGCAGAGTACATCAGCCCCCGGGGGATGATGCTAAACGGGTCGAACAGGAGCGGGGCAATTAACATACACATTCAATAGCTCTCTCTTCAGCTTTTATGGGCCTCAATTTAAAGTTTCATGGCATCTTAATATCAACAGGCTGTATGGAAAGAATGACAGAAGGCCACAGTACAAACACTCAGAGCATTTACAGCACACGTGCAACACACAATATACAGTATACTATGAAAAGCAAGGCATGTATTGTTAGACGATATACATGTACAGTTTTGAGCATCGGTGCATGTTTCTGTCTGTCAAACTGTGTGTGTGTTGTACTGTATGTGTGTATCCACTCAAAACCACAAGTGAGCGTCTGCGGGTCTCTTGGGCCCCTGGCTCACTGAAAAATGAGAGAAATCCTGACATTTTGAGAAGTGAGCTAAGCAAAAAACTGAGCCCAATAAAAGCTGTTTAATTTAGCTATGTCAACATGGCACATGGCCCAGCGCAAGAGAGCAGCAGAGAGACGAGGCGCTGATGAATGGCATACAATGTAGGGCCTTTCCGGTCTCTCTTTACCTCCCAGAATAAAATGTTTCTCTCTCCTTCACTAACCATTTCTTCTTCTTTTCCCCCCTCATCTTCTCTTCCCTGCTTCCTCTCTTCCCCTCCCACCCTAAGAGCCCATATAACCCTGCTCTTGCTGGAGAGTGGCCCAAGTGGCATATTAAAGTGTCACATTTGACACCACTCTTAATACTGCAAAATGTACTGAGGTGTGTGTTTGTCTGTGTGCCTGATACCCAAACACAGCATAAACACTGTCTAAACACTAGAGCGATGACCCAGTCTTGACTGTGTGTGCACACCTACGTATGTAATCGTCTGTTTCAGTGTCCTTACCCCCCTCATCTCCATTGTCCCCTACAAATCTGCCTATTTCCCTCTTATCTATTTATTTAGCATATCACAGCGAAGGCGCCAAGCTGCTTTACAAACAGTGTTGGTATATGAGATAAGAAAGGAGACTAAGCTGTCCTCCTGCACAAAACAAGCCTGGAGTTGTTCAAACAGGTTTCACTCTCCTACTGTTGGTGCTCCTTATGCAGATCTGTGCATATGTACAGTTCATGTTTCAAGCTGAGGCTACAGATGCACTTGAAAGAACGAGAGGAAAGTGTATGTATCTCTATGTGTGTTGGGGAGTAGACACCGACCGTGAACTATACAAAGGCAGTGCACAGTTCTCAAAGAGTTCAGTGCAAGCAAATCTATGGACCTCTCTCTCTTTCTCTCTTAATCCCACCAGTCTCTCTCCTCCTCCACATTCCACTTGAGAAGATGACAGAGGAAGGAGCTGAGCAAAGCGTTCACCTTTTGAACCTTTCTGGCGGCAACTCTACAGACGGAGGAGGAGGGAGAGAGTCAGGAAGGGTGAAAGGGAGGAACTATGAAATCCATTCCCCAATTCATGGGGAAACGCCTGGCCGGAAGGATTGTATGTCTCCAAAGTCTGCCAGAGAGGGAGGGCCTCCCGGTTAAAATTGTTTCTTTATTGCTCTGTAAAAAAAATATTGCATGTTGAAAACTAAAAGATAGATATAACAAACACATGATGTGCCACTGGCACAAAGGGCATTCTATGAAATTAGTACATATTTTTACCTTATAGACTGTGTACACACACACACACACACACAATATATATATGAGTGAGGAAAATAAGTATTTGAACACCCTGCTATTTTGCAAGTTAGCACTTAGAAATCATGGAGGGGCCTGAAATTGTCATCGTAGGTGCATGTCCACTGTGAGACATAATCTAAAAAAAGAAAATCCAGAAATCACAATGTATGATTTTTTTAACTATTTATTTGTATGATACAGCTGCAAATAAGTATTTGAACACCTGTCTATCAGCTAGAATTCTGACTCTCAAAGACCTGTTAGTTTTCTGCCTTCAAAATGTCCACCTCCACTCCATTTATTATCCTAAATTAGATGCACCTGTTTGAGGTCGTTAGCTGCATAAAGACACCTGTCCACCCCATACAATAAGTAAGAATCCAACTACTAACATGTCCAAGACCAAAGAGCTGTCCAAAGACACTAGAGACAAAATTGTACACCTCCACAAGGCTGGAAAGGGCTACGGGGAAATTGCCAAGCAGCTTGGTGAAAAAAGGTCCACTGTTGGAGCAATCATTAGAAAATGGAAGAAGCTAAACATGACTGTCAATCTCCCTCGGACTGGGGCTCCATGCAAGTTCTCACCTCGTGGGGTCTCAATGATCCCAAGAAAGGTGAGAAATCAGCCCAGAACTACACGGGAGGAGCTGGTCAATGACCTGAAAAGAGCTGGGACCACCGTTTCCAAGGTTACGTTGGTAATACACTAAGACGTCATGGTTTGAAATCATGCATGGCACGGAAGGTTCCCCTGCTTAAACCAGCACATGTCAGGGCCCGTCTTCAGTTTGCCAATGACCATTTGGATGATCCAGAGGAGTCATGGGAGAAAGTCATGTGGTCAGATGAGACCAAAATAGAACTTTTTGGTCATAATTCCACTAACCGTGTTTGGAGGAAGAAGAATGATGAGTACCATCCCAAGAACACCATCCCTACTGTGAAGCATGGGGGTGGTAGCATCATGCTTTGGGGGTGTTTTTCTGCACATGGGACAGGGCGACTGCACTGTATTAAGGAGAGCATTACCGGGGCCATGTATTGCTAGATTTTGGGGAACAACCTCCTTCCCTCAGAGCATTGAAGATGGGTCGAGGCTGGGTCTTCCAACATGACAATAACCCGAAGCACACAGCCAGGATAACCAAGGAGTGACTCTGTAAGAAGCATATCAAGGTTCTGGCGTGGCCTAGCCAGTCTCCAGACCTAAACCCAATAGAGAATCTTTGGAGGGAGCTCAAACTCCGTGTTTCTCAGCGACAGCCCAGAAACCTGACTGATCTAGAGAAGATCTGTGTGGAGGAGTGGGCCAAAATCCCTCCTGCAGTGTGTGCAAACCTGGTGAAAAACTACAGGAAACGTTTGACCTCTATAATTGCAAACAAAGGCTACTGTACCAAATATTAACATTGATTTTCTCAGGTGTTCAAATACTTATTTGCAGCTGTATCATACAAATAAATAGTTAAAAAAATCATACATTGTGAGTTCTGGATTTTCTTTTTTTAGATTATGTCTCTCACAGTGGACATGCACCTACGATGACAATTTCAGACCCCTCCATGATTTCTAAGTGGGAGAACTTGCAAAATAGCAGGGTGTTCAAATACTTATTTCCTCAGAGAGTGAGTGTGTGTGTGTGTGTGTGTGTGTGTGTGTGTGTGTGTGTGTGTGTGTGTGTGTGTGTGTGTGTGTGTGTGTGTGTGTATTTTTTATTATTTATCATTGTGCCCTTGTGGTAGTCAGATTTCTTGCCCGTGTTATTTTTCTACACATTAGAGAAAAAAATAAATAAATAAACTTTATTGTACTTGTTTTTATAGTCATCAGTGTTGGGAATCTGAGTAAGCCGGTTCCCATGGGCAATTCCTAAATGTTGTGCACAAGTGTGTGTATGTGTATTCATCCAAATGTCTAAGTACCCCAAGGGATGTATGTATGCAGTCACTTCATTGCGCGCGTGCGCGCGTCGAGGGCCCCGGCCAGCTGCTGCAGTGCATGCATTAACACCTTGTTATGGCTTAGCGAGTTAAGTGTTAATTGGGGTGGAAAACGTTGATATGCTGCTCTCCTATCCCAAATGGCTTACCCTGTCTCTGCAGAAGAAAACAGGAGTGCAAACTTAGGAAACTGCTCACGTTCACACACATGCACACAAACACGCACGAGCACTACTACTCGGTCTCCTGTCTCATGACTCATTCGGTACCCGTTTGGCCCAAGTTTTTCCTCTTTTGCTGCTGCATTATTTCACTCTCTCCGAATCTTTTCCCAAATTGGATCTTTCCAATCCTCTCTAGTTTTTCTGCTGGTGCATCATCCTTCACTTTCCTACTTTTTCCTCTCCCCTCACCTCCCTCTTCATCACTCCCCTCCAGAGTGCCTTCTTTTTCTCATCTTCACTCACTTTTATCCCCTTCACGACACCCCTGCACATCGTCTCTTTGATTTTTATTTTTTCTCTCCTCCGTTAAATCTTCCTCCTCATCCCCTTCTCAGACCGTAAACACTGGCAGGATCTCTGTGGCCCATTAGACCAACTGAAGACATTCTGTCTCTTCCACAAACGTGCTCCTGTTCATGAATGACTGCACTTCCCATCAAGCTCTGGGAATATGTAGAAAAGGAGTTAACTATACTCTATATCACATGTGTCAAACTCTGAACCCCCTCCGTGGGCCGAATCCGGCCACTACAGTAGTTTTCCGTTCACACTACACAACTTACCGTCTTGTGATGGGAGTCTTGAAGTCTTTGTGGCCTTCACACTACGTGACTGATCGGTGACAGGGGGTCACACACTACATGAGTTGACAGCGGCTGTGTCACCTGACACTGGTCACCAAACCATGTTTTGTCAAGAAAACGGAAAATGACGCGAACCTACAGACCTGTTGTTTGTTATTATAAAAACAGCAATAACAACAACAAAAAATATGGGTGAAAGAATGGATTAGCACACGCAGGTAGCAGGGATCATCTGAGCTACAGAGAGAGCTGGAGGGGAGTAAAAAGTGTTTTGCGGAGAAAAAGTAGCTGCCTGCTCTCAGTGGCTGGATGTGGATGTCGAGTCGGTCGACTCTTCCAGATATTTGGCATGCTAGATATCTGGCTGACATCCGTGATGTGTCAGAAATGTGTCGGGGAGCCATTTTGATGCGTTGCTGACTGCAGATCAACCGCTGATTTACTTACGATCACAGCCCAACGGTCACCGAGAGGAAAATCGGGCTAAAAATCGTGTAGAGTGACCTAGGCTTAGGCTACAGTAGCCTATACGTCTGCATTTTCCCAGGTAATCAAACTCTCATTGGTTGGATGTATGTCCTCTGCAAGGCTGTGTGCAGCTGGACTATTTGTTTTATCAAATGCCACATCTGTCCCTCATGTTATTAGCAGCTCACAATTATTTTTGTTTTACCATGGTTCTGCACCTCTGGACTGTGAAAAAGTGAAAAAGTTACTGTAAAAGCTTATGTTTGATATTTCTCTGTTATTTACTTGAAATGTTTGATATTTCTCTGTTATTTACTTGAAATGTTTGATCTTTGATTGATAAATTATGTTATGTTAAATTATGTTATGTTATGTGGTTATGTGGACCTTGGTGAAAGTGAGTTTGACACCCCTGCTCTATATTGTTGTAAAACGGAGAGTGTGTCAAGATAAAAGTAGTGTGTTAGTTAAAAATATGGTAAGTTTGTTAAATGCTAATTTCTACGCTCTAGTCCCGTCCTTACCATGCCCATTGAGTGGCTGCCTAGCGGGGAGCTTGCCCTTGCGGGGTGTCGAGTGGCAGGAGGACGAAGCAGAGGCTTGGCTGCTGCTTCCCCCACCATGAGAGTGGATCCCACTGCCGTTCTTCACCACCTCCTCCTCCTCCTCCTCCTCATCCTCCTCCAGGTCCTCCTCCTCCTGGGAGCTTCCGAAGTAGGCCATGTTGCTAGGCAGGGCTGATGAACCTGAGTGCAGAGAGGTGGAGAAAAGAGAGGAGAAAGGGGCACAGAGAGGGGGATGAATAATAGAGGTAGGTTGGGTGCGGAGAGCAGAGAGAGAAAGGAAAAGAAGAGAACATTTAAAAATTCAAGTAAGAAAAAGGCACTGAAAAGAGAAACACTATTTGCACACAATACACCTTCTTTTGGGACCCCCCAGCTGTCCATGTATGGGAAAAACATTTTTTCATTCCAATCTCTGACATTACAGATGAATCAACATCAGTATGCAAGTGGTGAAATATTAATGTAAAAACAGAAGTTGCTCAAGCGTTTGTGAATAAATGGCGATTGGGCTGCTGTTTTTTCATCTGTTATTATCCCAGTTGGTGGCCTATTGATGCTTTGTAAACTGCTCTGCACATAACCGCTCCATTGTCTCTCGCACACACACACACACACGGACGGACGGACATGCACAGCAGAATGTTCAAATTATTTGCAAATCCATGACAGATTCACTTTACCAGCGATTTTACTGTGTCTATACTGAACCTCTTCCAAAATCACTTCTTAAATCATGACGTCTGCGTCTATGGATTTACCATTCATCTTGCCTGACCTTGACCTTTGTTCTGGTGTTTCTCGTCTTTTAACAATGTTTTGCAAATGCCGCTGCGAGACATCACTAGTAGTTGTGGTGGTTCAAGCAATATGAGCGGTATTACAATTTACAGGGAAGGGAGGGGATGACTTGCAACATATTCTGATAACTAGGACTAAAGCCTAAAGAGGTTGTAACAGGCCGTCTTTCCACAGAGACTCTCCATGTTGACAGTTTTATTGAGACATATATACTGTACATGTGCTCAAATATCCAACTCTGTATAAGAGTTACTTTAGAAACCAAAGAGTTGCTGCTGAGCTAATCCCAAATCTGTCGCTTTCACTCTTCCAAACAGGATTACTGTCAATCTCTCCCCCTATTGCAGAAGAAAACTGATGTTCTCTCTTCTGTCACACTCAATCACTTTCATTGTCATCTCTGAGAAATCTCGCTCAACATGTGCTGGAAGGTGGTAAATGGTGTTTGGCAGTCGGTAGCCTATAACGTTACCTCAGTTAGTTGAATGTAGACAGAAACACACACACAAAAAGGTCATAAAGCCCAAAGCTATGTTATTAAATCTCATAATGTTGCACTCGTAAATCAGTGCGCAAACAGCTGGTTCAGTCATACAGATGTAGGAAAAAAACACTAAGGCTAGCTTGTAGAGTATAGTAGAAGTGACTGGCACAATAATATTTGGACAGAAATATAAAACATATACAGAGGCATAGATGTAAATCCTTTTTTCATTTTTCTGCATCATGCTTCCCGTGTGTGTCCAGAAACATCATAAAAAGCTTTACAGCAATATGCTGATCTTTGCCATAAACTGACCAGTAGAACACTTTATTGCGCGCAAGTATGTTTGTTTGTACGGACGGCTTCTGAATTGACATCCTACGGAACCCTTGCACCTCCCACTGCCCTTCTATCAAAAAGGCCTGCTCCCCCCATCTTTAACTTTAAGAGGCTTGCTTCGGTCCATTTTTCAATTTGTACTGTCTGACTGTGTCTTTGTTGATTTATAGTTAACTGGAATGTGGAATGTATGCAAGATCCTCAGATTTGATTGGGTGCCTGGGCGTTTATGAGCAGGAAAAACAGATTTCAAGAATTTGTGGGTCCTTCGTAAACTGATTGCAAAGCATGAGCAACTACTGTTTTTATCATTCTTTTAGGGGCCACCGTGTTTAAAGGGCATTAAATGGGGAAGAAATGTGTGATTATATCAATTAAAATGATGTTAAGCCTCTGAAAAATGGGCTGAATTTAACTAGCCTGCATTACGCTATGCAGGGTACTTAAAATCACACAGTGAATTAAGAATTATCCAAGCCAATTATTTAATTAGTGCTCTTATTTTGGAGGGTGCTTAATACTTATCTTAGATTTTACACATTCAATACATTAAGTGGCTTCATAAAAATATAGAGATAAAACAAGTACGAGGACACCAAAATAATTACATTTTCTAATAGACTCACACAAGGGATTTATCTTACACATATTAGAACAAGTCAGAAATGAGCAGCAAAAAGGCACGAGGACTTCACGAGGTCTCTAGTTTGACGAGTTAGTTTGAGTTAGATGAAAAAGAATATGCTCAATCATTAGCTCATTATTGATTCATGTAGTATAACCCTGCACTGGAGCGGCTATGGACTGCTGAGTAACTGTTTAGTCACCTGCCTTTTGTAATCCATGTGTGTGCAATATGACACACAAACACATTTACACTGTAAGTGGACAATGGAGCTCGGCTTGGAAACACTAAACATTTGAGTGCGAGTGTGTTTGTGAGGATATACCCTGACACCCTAACTAAGCCTGGGCTTTCCAAAAGACAAAGGAGAGGACATGGTGCAAGGCTTAACTGGTGCTAACCAGTACCATGCAGACCGCAGTACTAAAGGATTCTCCTTTCAATAGCCTTCACTGCAGAATGAAATAAGGGTCCTTAGGGGACCTACGGTTATCACACGTCACATCACATTTAGTTTGAAAGTTTCAATTTTATACTCATATCAAAACTTTTCCAAACAGTAAAAACAGAGAGCCTGGTAATAATAAATCTTGTTGTGCCTTGGATCACACTTTTCACACAGCATCTCTGCCAGTTTCTAATTATCTCCTCAGAGAGAGGGAGAGAAAATAAAATCTGAAGTGGCAGCAGATTTCCTGAACAGATAATATTGGAAATTTACCTGCACCTTTTGACTTCTAAAGCAGGTATGTAGGGCACAAAGTAACTGTTCAACAAGAGTGAAATATAGCTTCTACACAAACCAAAATGACCCACATGGTGAGGCCTTTTTCTCTGCAAACAGGGGTGGATTCTCAAAGAAGCACTCACAACCCATGCCCGGTGTGTGTTTATGTTGTGGTTTCTTGGCATACAGCATCTGGAGTGGAATACAGACAATTGTAGGTGGCTGAACCCGTGCAGCAATGCCACTTTGTAACAAAGTACAATTTTCTGGCTTTCAACCAGTGGATCAGGCATCAAATGTTGGGTGACTACAGCACACATCCCAGCCAACAGATACAGAACGCCACACACATGCACCTAATGACACACACTCACACACACAAATGAACAAACACACCGCGCAGAGACCTCGTTTATCTTGGCCACAGAGCAAACGCTCCTCTTAGACCAAACAAACACGCACAGGCTGCACACACAGGCCCAATCAGCTTCTAATGACTTGCTTCATTAGCTAAATGGCTGTAATTTACTGCCCTGAACAGAGGTCAGAGGGCCACTGACCACAGGGGCGCCCAGGGACAGAAATAGAGGGGGGAGTTTGGGTTTGTTTGGGGGTGCAGGAAAGTGGAGACAAACTAGTGAAAATGTTCAATACAGCAGAGTGAGTATGTGTGTGCGCGCCTTTATAGTACTTACAGCCCCCTCCAAAAGTAAAAGGACATACCACCCTTTGGATTAGACCACAGTATTCTTAGGTGAGCAAAAGTAAAGGAACAAATAACCTTAAAGTAAATAACATTTTAATATTTAGTGCATAACCCTTGCTTGCAATAACTGCCTCAAGTCTGCGACCCATCGACATCAACCAACCTGTTGCATTCTTCATTTGTGATGCTATTCCAGGCTTTTACCACAGCTTCTTTCAGTTCTTGTTTGTTTCGGGGTGTTTCTCCCTTCAGTCTCCTCTTAAGGAGGTGAAATGCATTTTCTATTGGGTTAAGGTCAGGTGATTGACTTGGCCTGTCTAAAATTCCACTTTTCCACCCTGATGAAGTCCTTTGTTTTGTTGGCAGTGTGCTTTGGGTCATTGTCCTGCTGCACGATAAACTTCCTCCCGATTAGTTTCAATGCATTTCTCCGTAAATTGACAGACAAATGTTTCTGTAGACTTCTGAATTCATTCTGCTGCTACCATCATCAGTTACATCATCAATAAATATTAATGAGCCTGTTCCAGAAGCAGCCATGCACGCCTAAGCCATGACTTTACCTCCACCATGCTTCACAGATGAGCTTGTATGCTTCGGATCATAAGCAGTTCCTTTCTTTCTCCACACTTTGGCCTTTCCATCACTTTGCTAGAGATTAATCTTGGTCTCATCAAATCCATAAGATTGTGCTCCAGAACTTTTGTGGCTCATCTCTGTACCTCTTTGCAAATTTTAATCTGGCCTTCTGATTCTTACTGCTGATGAGTGGTTTGCATCTTGTGGTGTGGCCTCTATATTTCTGCTCTCTGAGTCTTCTTCCAACAGTGGATTGTGAGACCTTCACCCCTGCACTGTGGAGGTCGTTGTCGATGTCACTTACTGATATTTTGGGGGTTTTCTTCACAGCTCTCACTATATTTCTGTCATCAACTACTGTTGTTTTCCTTGGCCGACCTGTTCGACGTCTGTTGCTCAGTAAACCAGTAGTTTCTTTCTTTTTCAGGACATTCCAAATGGTTGTGCTTGCTGTGCCCAATGTTTGTCCAATGGCTCTGGTTGATTTTCCTCCTTTTCTCAGCTTGACAATGGCTTGCTTTTCTCCCATAGACAGCTCTCTGGTCTTCATGTTGGTTTATCCTCTTTAACAGGAAATGCAGTCTTTATAGGTTTGAACCAAGGATGAAAACTTAGACTAGTCATGCAGAGCAATTTAATGTTTGGACAATCAACCTAAAAGGCAACACCTGGGCAACAAGGACATCACATGTTAGTTAATACTTTTGCTCACTTGAAAAATGGGTGGGTTCAAACAAAGGGTGGTATGTCCTGAGTTGTTTAACACATCTAGATGTGAATACCACGAAATGAGAGCTGAAATTCTGAACTCTTGTCTCATACTCATCTTTTGATCTTTAACCCAAATGTCTTCAGTGAACAACAAAAACAAAAGGAATTTGCCATACCATTCCAATACTTTTGGAGGGGACTGTATATGAAC